TTGGAGAGTTACAAACAAAATGAAGTGGAAAAAAAGTGTGATAGGTATGTGGGTAGTCCCATGCGGTTCCGTAGCTTAATTGAAAGGCCAAATGCGACGATTAGACGGAAATGTGAGAGCTGGTCTGGCATAGTGTACCAGCTGTTTAATTACATCGCTGACTAACCGCTCTGAATTAATCGACAGCCCTTTACTTGGCGTCCATCGTGAACCTAAGTGCACCGACTCATCAGGCGCGTTTGTCTCGAGGTGCTAGTACTGCCAGGTCAAGTTACTACAACTAGCATCTAGTTCGTTGAATTGTTTGAGAGTGATCATAAGGCTTTATCGATGCAGTCTGACCAAATTCGCAGTTAACTACTAACTATTTCAGCGAATCATGCTCATCATCGTTTCTATTCTAATGTGCTTTTTCCATTTTTCTCTTTCAAAAATCAAAATAATTTTTTTTACAAATTATTCCATCAAATTTAAAATATTGATAAATATATTTGAATTTAGGAAAATCCAAAAAAATTACACTGACTTCAGGTTCACTTTAGTTTTTAAGAACTTAATTTTCATTTCAGCATTCATTGGAAAATTTACGTAGCTTATAAGAGCAAAGTGCAAAAAAAAAATCAGCATGTGAGTAAAAATAGCCCGTAATATGAAAAATCCAAATGGTAATTCTTTCTCGTATCATTAATTTAATGAATTTTTTCTCTTCACTTCGAAAGTTGAAGGGTGCCCTTCGCATCTAAAAGCTCACAGGTAGACGTATACGAACTATAATTAATTTTAGTCGACGGCTCGTCAGGTATCACGTACGAGGCTCTTGAGTTTCGTCGCGCGAACGACCACCTGCTAATGACAAGGAGCAATTAGAGCGCGACTTTTCATGGAATAATCCTGGTTTCGCTTTGTCGATTTTTTGATTTTACTGAAATTTACATGACTGCATACTTGAATTCTTGTTCAATTTTATTAGCTAAGAAAATATATTTGTTTTATGAAAATATATAATTAAAAGGATTATAAAGAGTGGTGGATTCTATGGATAAGCAAATTCATGGAATACAATATCACCTAGACGTAACATTTATTTTCAGTTCTGTTTATTAAAATATCATTACATCTTAATTGCATGTACAAGTCATTTATCTATTTTTCTGCAAACGCCTTCTTGTATACTTTATTAATTTGTTGTTGTTGCTGTTTCGTTCATATTTTCAAAGAAATGAACTCGGCATGTGCTGCCGTCTTTCGAAGTGAACGTTCCATTTACAATTCATAACGCCTTTGGCACGCTCATTAAAAGTGACTCACTCTCCTTTTCACTCATTTATTGTATATATGTATATGTATATACATATACATATACATGTATATATCACTCACACATATTCCCTCTCTTTTTCTCTCACGCGGGGATGCGCAAACGATTCGTGAATCCGGGGGGCAGAGTGGAGAAGGAGAGAAAAGACGATGACGAGAATGAAGAGGGAAAGAAGCGAAGGGAACAAAAGTAAAAAATAACAAACAAACACAACGATATACAAAGCACCGAGATCCGCCTTAACGAGCAAGTCAAGCAAAACGCCAACGCAAAAAACCATTAACGTGTAATGCGTAGTACATCGCTCTTCTCGCGGCTGCTTCTGCCTGCTGCTCGCTTGCAAATAACAAAGAGTGCCGTAAAATACATCGCGCCACTCTGCGCGCCGCGACGTACAATAGACGGGAGTGCGCGAAAAAAAAAGACAAAGAAAAACAAAAAAAAACGAAATGCAGTCGTGGGTCGGAGCTAGGGAAGGAGACAAAACAATGTGCGCCATGAGGACTAGTTTTCCTCGAGGTTGAATCAAGTTTACGCACTCTCTCGGCAGTTGTCAACAACAGGGGTTTACTTGGCTGTTTGTTGCTTGTTGTTCATAGTTATATACTAGTTTTTCACATACACGCCCCCGAACACAAACATATGGTACTCTCGCGAGCTCGCTGGTTCTAGTCGATTCACTTTTTCTGGCTTCCAACGTTAATTTACAATCGGGTACAGCGTTAACTGGGTGATATTACGTGCACGTACGACGGCGCTCGTTAACGATGGAATAGGCCTTCTCGCCGAGAGCTATATATTCTATATACACGTATATGTATAGCTTAACGAGGAAGAAAATATACACGCTCTAACTCTTGCACTCTCTCTCACTCTCTTTCACTTTATACATAATTATCGCATCGAATATTCGCCGGGGCTCTGGATATAATCGTCAGCTCCGCGCAGGGCTGGCGCTTAATAATCCGCGATTTCGCGTAACTCAAGACTCTCGAGGAAATGCCTTCGTTGGGGGAAAAGGCGGCATTTGAAAATAAAAAAAAATAATTTTTTTTCTCGGAGCAGGACGAGCAAAAAAAATGTACGACGCAGGTCGAGAGGGTGTACTCGAGACTTGCGCGCGCGCCCACAAATTGTCGCGGAGCCCGAGTTTTTTAGCGCACTCCGACCGGAAAAGAAGGAATAATAATGAAGACTCGCGTAAATTTGTCATTTCGTTATTATTATTTTTACCCTGTGCGTAACCCGGTGTTGTAATTGGATATCTCTAACAAAGCCTCGCGCTTGCCTCTCGTATATTCCTTTGATTGGATGCTTGATCGTCAGTCATGGGTGAAAGTGAACACCTGTTCGGTCACGCTTCAATGGAATTAGAGATTATCTATTATTTTTGAAGGAGCTTCTTTGTTAGCTTAGTTTAACTTCAGTTTGACTGAGGAGTCGAGTAAACGAATACAAAAATTCCGAATGTTTTGAATATTCTCGATTGGTTGGTTGAAAACATTCACCCACGCTTCTGTTGATATTTTCATCGAATATGCGAGCTCGCTACGATTATTTTTTTTCTTTGTTTTTCGAGTGATTTTCAAATGTTTTTATCAGTCGGACGGAAAAATCACACGAAGCACATAAAAATTTCATTTACCGAGATAAGAACCTCATCAATAAATGTCTTTTATTTTATTTTATTTTTTTATTTCAAGGCAAACGCAGTTTCGTATAACTATACACAGTTTATAATTCATTTGCGCTAATTTCGACACACCAACCATCAAAGCAACGAATTTTTACAATTATTAAACAATCACAATTGTTAATATCGAAATCGGATCTTAGCTTTCTTTTTGAAAAATTGCGTGTTACAACAACCGGCTCTGTCAACATAAAATATACACGCTTTTAACACATGGTCAACAACAACGTCTCTCGTCGTTCAACGTAGAGAACAAAACAAAATATTCGCGGACGCTCACTCGTATATATATACATATATATATATATATATATATATATATATATATATATATATATATATATATATATATATACATAATATATATATATATATATATATATATATATATATATATATATATGACGGACGTCTGACAATTTAGCCTCCAACTTCGATGCACACTCCTAGTCACGCATAAACGCACGCATACAATCGAGTATTTGTTTTATATAACTTCTGCTGTCCGTGCATTTTTTTCATAAGACCGACAGTAACGAGTAAATGGCCTCTCTAGGACAATATGCGGGAACTCACGTACACATGTGTGTGTACAGTAGATGATCGCTTGAATTCTCAATACTTTTTTGTTTTATATAATAAATATACATATATTTATGCTCGCTAAATCGTAGGCGCTCGACACTGTACATGCCTCTCGAGAATGACGGTTATCGCTTAGAAACTTATGGGAGTATTTTTGTTTTTTTTTCTTACAGATTTAATTACAAAGTTGTGAGTTTGTGTGTGCATATGTTTTACGATCAAATGGTCGCATGTAGACGCGGTAATGGTATATACTTGAAATTACCGCGTCGTTATGTATTTTAATAATTTAAGTCGATTACACCTTAGGTGACATAGTTGATTTTTTGATGGATCGGATATCAGTCTTCAAGCGCGTGAAGAGAGAAAAGAAAAAATAGTAGTAACAACGCGAAGTGTCTGCAAGCTATACAGTGAATCGATGCGCACTACGAGTACATTGTATATCACCAAAGACGCGCGAGCCTTAACTATCTCTCGCAGTGTGGTGTGTTTGTGTGTGTTAGCTATAAAGGTATATGTATACATAAGATATATGCAGATATTCACACGCAGACAGCAACCGTACTTCTTTTTTTTTATAACGGCATAAAAAACGATGTAGAAAGTTTCGCGTTCGTAAAAAAGATGGCAAAGGGGGTGCGGAGCATCATGGCAACGTCGCACGACGACGAGGTTTTCTTATATACGCGAGTGTGCGCGCGAGCAAAAGTAGAGACCCTGTGTGTGTATCTTTCTTTCTCTCTTTTTTACCTGATTAATGAATGGATCCATGGGACATGACCCGATAAAAATCCGTGACAAATAACGAGGTCCCTAAAGACCCTTTTTCTCGCCTCCGAAATTCCGCAAATCCTCGAGTCTCCCGAGAAGATTTTGACTTCAATTTTATTGTACTTTTCTCGCGGATTATTATTTTCCCGAAAAGTGAATTAGGGTTTCGAATGTGGTTTTCATTGGAAATGGAAGAAAAAAATTGCTCAAACACGCGGAACAATTAAACTTGATGAGATGTCGTTTGGTTCGAGCAAAAGCGTCAGCATTGAATATCTGAAAGTTTATCCTAGTGCATACTTACTTTGGAAGTCAGATGCAAATGTGATGATAATTGCTGTTCGCGGCGTATCAGAGTGAAAAGCAAAGTGCGCGCTCTCGGGCAATAAGAGCGCACGTACCGAGGGCAAATTTCTTATCTCGAGCGTGTCGAGAAAGAGAGAGAGAGAGAGAGATACTTTTGCACGAGAGCTTATACGCGCGAGCACAATGGAAAGCCTCGACGCGCGACGTCGTTAAAAAAATCACGCGAGGGGCTTGGGATAGACGCATCACACACATACACATAGGCGCGCATACCTCGATGATGGCACTTGGTTTTTCTATTTTCTTCTTAAAGCAGCTCCTCGCTCTCATCGGACATGCCGTACATTTGAGGACGACGCTCGTCTCGCTGCTGCAACTGCTGCTGATGTTGCTGTTGTCGTCGCTGCAGTAACGCGATACTTGCTGCTTTGTAGTTTATTGGCCCGTACGAGCGGTAGTCTACGTCGGCGTAGTCCAAATCAGTGAACTCCGGCTTGAACGGCTGCAATAGGTGCAAGAGGTAGAATTAAATAGAATTTTCTTTGAATTTAATTTTAAATTTTCTCGCTCGAAAGCTTTCAATCATTTGCAGCAGAACTTTTCTGATTGATTGATTGACTGACTGATTGATTGATAGGAGAATGGTCGAAAAATGGTTTAGCGTAATTTTCCAGCTGGGGTTATTGTTGAATATTGAAAAAATAGTTTATGACGTTTGAAAATCAGTTACAAGTTGCGATTCAAAGCCGCTACAGTGAATGTTTCCAAAATAGAGATACGCAGCCGTGTTTTTTACTTTCATCGTGGACCGAGCAAAAAAATCGAAATTTACTTCGTGCAAATTAATAGAAATGTGAGTTTCCGTGTGGTTACTTTTAATTAATCGATAATCTATAAATCTCTGCAATAATATTCCCTGATCATCGGCAAGATTATAATTGCAAATCTTCTGTGAATGACTGATCAAAGCTTGGCGAGAGAAAATCGCTCTGAGCGTGTTTAATATATACGATTCAATGATTCTTAAGATAAATTTTTTTCTTTTAATCTCATCGAGCACTTATTCAACTATCGAGAACAATCTCGTCAGCAGAGTTCGCTTTTAGTCGGCGGGCCCGCATTACATCCAACGAAAATTATTAAGAACATTCATTTTAGAACGCACTTTGAACTCGAAATTGCATCTAAATGATAGTCTAGCACAATCCAGCGAAAATACTGGAGGCCCGTAAATGCGCCAAGTAATCTTGGCGGGAAATAGTTTGAATAGTGGTACGCACGAGCTCTGCCGAATAGCTGAAATTCTCTCGGAGTCTATGTTGTTATAATATTCCGCATAATTGACTCTGCGCGTCCCTCTACACACGGCCGGTATATGCAGCCAGCCAATTATTTCAAGCTTAATTATTGATCAAAACAGAGCTGATATTGTGATTATTTAAATTCGATAAATTCCGTAACCCATGTTCAAATTAATTCGTATTAGTATGAAATGAAAAAATAACAATCATATGAACGATCAAACAAAACACACTCAACGTTGTCAAACACAAATCAAAGAAATCCAAATAAAAGTAAATAAATAAAAGCAATAGAAAACATCGAATTGGTATTTGCAAGAAAACACACTTGTCAACTTACGATTAATATCTTGCGCAATTCAGATGATGTGGAATTAGCACAAGCAGTACGAAACTCTCTCTAATTGTCGATTATTAAAAGCATTCGTGCGCGAGGGAGGATAAGTTTAATAAACACGAGGCGTCAACGCAGTATAGTATTTACGAATATGAATAAAGTTCCGTTTGTTAGGTGACAGAAGCCGGAAGAGCTTGTGGCGCGCCATTATCCAGGAAAAGAGAAAGCAATTGCAATACCTATACTCACACACACTAACGCACACACGCGCGCGCAGACTGGCGGGGTGTTTCAACGTTAGAGAGACAGAACGAGTACGTACGTGATAGTGAGAGCATCGCGCGCGCTTAGTAAATATAAGTTTGGCTGGTTGACTTGGGCCCCTAGGGAACAGAGAACAAAAGAAAAAGAGATAGATAGACAGACAGAGATAAAGAGTCGGGATTGGTAAATAAGAATGCCTTTTACAACAGCCGGCCACACACTGACGCACACCCAAACAAGCGCGTGAGAAGTTATCCAAGCTTCTTCCTTTGGGCTGGTACTAAGCGGAAAGAGAGTGCTCTACATGTACACGAGTGCTGCCCGAACGTGTCGTTTGCCATACTCGCTCTCGCGCGCTACCTTTAGATCAGACATCGATCTCCCGTCCGACGTCGAAGTCACTAAGGAAGCACAGCTCGTCGTTATACCTCTTGATCGGCTTGCGAGACTGCTGCTGCTGCTGCTGCTGCTGCTGGGCTTGCTGAGGTTGCGCCTCGGCGTCTGAAGCGTAGGCATCCTCGTAATAATGCGGATACGAGATCTTGTAGCTCTCGGGCATGCCGAGCTCGAAGCTCGTCGTCTCGTTATTGACGGCGACACCGCTGCATTGATTGTTGCGTTTGCGCTTGCTTCGATGCTTTCGCCTGGTGTGCCTGCGGTGCTGCTGCCTGTCGTAAGTCAGGTCGGGCACGTCCAGTGAGTAGGGCAACGTATTGGAGGTGATCGACGTGTCCGCCGATTGGTACTGGCCGAGATTCATCGCGTTCAGCGAGTGCTGCGAGTGCATGTACGAGCTTTGTAACGGGGACACCACCGACGATGAGTGGTATAGGCTGCGCGTCAGGGGTAAGGTCATTTGGCTAGAGCTGTTGCTTGGCAGAGGATAGCCGTACTGTTGCATCTCCTGCTGCTGTACCTGCTGATGCGGCGGCTGCTGCTGCACCTGCTGATAGTGCTCTTTGTAGTCGTAGATACTGTTGGCCGTCTGCAACAGGCAGGCCGCCTACCGGTTAGTACAAGCAACCACCAAATCAAGTTATATTTTCAAACTTTTCTCGTTATATTTTTGGTTAGTGAAAGTTTATTAGTATATGAAAGAATAGAATTATTTGGAAGAATTCAATTTATAGAGCTTAGTCATTAGTTGATGTTACGGTCAGCTGATAAATAACTAGATAATGTCTATTTCAACGAAGAGAAAAGATTAAAGCAGTTCAGTGATGGATAATATTCTATCTCGATATTGTTTCTTTAATGAAACTTCAATCGAATAATACCATCATTTTCAAGTAATTAATTATATTTGTTGGTACATACGATGTACCTGTTGGCCTGTAAAATGAAGATTAATTGGTAATTTGTGCCACGCAAATATACATTAATTTTGGAAAATAGTATTGGGTAATTGATTTAAAGAGTAAATAACATTAATATAATTGTATGTACATTTATGAATGCTATTGGAAAGCTAACGAATAAACGGTATTTATACTCGATATTTGTTTGAAGTAAAAATTTATTATACATGTTAATGCGTGTTAGTTTGAAGATAATGATGTCGGCATGCAATGTAACTAGCAAACGATAGAAGCTACTAAGAATGGTTGGTACTGAAACTTACTTCATAGCTGGTAGAAAATCGCTGATGTGTTAAACCTGTGTTTTTTCAAGAAATTTAATAGTTGTTTTGTTAGTCTAGAGTGAATATTTTCTGGTATATATATCCTGGTAAAATGAATTACTTCGTTTAATTAAAAGTACTTGCAGATGCTTCGCGATCTAGATTGCTTGATATCGAATTTTCAGTTTAAAACGTTCACTTTGAGTAAATAATCAATTAACGAGTTCGAGAATGATCTTATTTCTGGGAGGGCGGCGCCGCGCAGTGAAGCCACGCAGTCTCGACGATACATTAAAGGCTTGGTCGTCGTTTCACAAATGCAGCGATGAGGGCGCATGAAACGCGAAAGACAAGCAAAAAGACGCTATCGCGAGTACAAATCGTAGTTTGGAAAAGTATACGGATGACCAGCTGAAATAAAGCATCGAATCGTTGCAACAATGATAGCGGCATTGCGAGGATGCGCGTGGCTCGAATGGCAATCTCGCAAGAGGACTGAGATCTCTCGCTGCCGCGTTGGAGCGTGCTATGTGCGAGCGCGCGAGCCGACAATTCTACAGGCTTACGATGGCACTTGCACACAACGCGCCCGAGCGATTAAAGTCCGTGGGCATACGCGCTATTCGTCCAATTACGTCATTTTCACTGGGGCGTAAAGCCGAGCCCTTGTACCTGCTGTGCTGCTGCTGCTGCTGCTGCTGCTGCTGCTGCTACTACTGCGAGCAGACCGAGCCGATTACCGCGTGGAATGTTCCTGCGAAATTGAAGATGCCCGCGTAATCCGCGCGTTTGGCTTTTCTTCGGGCGAGCTCTAGCTTGCACGTTACGAATGCGCCTGCTCACCTGCGAGCTTTCTCCGACCGCCCGACGATTGCACCCGGCGCTTTTCCCGATGTTAAGACACCGTAAAACATACTTTTTATCTAAATTTATGGCTCGTCCGACTGGCCATTCTCAGTTGTCGAATAAAATGCCCTCGATCGGTTTCGCAAGAGAAGTTAGTGCGTGCGTAAGGATACAAGAAGAAGCCTTCACCGTGATGCGTAGGAGGAAAAAAGACGAAAAGGATGGTCTCGCTACAAACCTATGACAGCGGAACCGTCAAAAAGCGGTGAACCGGCATTCGGAGTCGGGAGCGTCGGAACGCCATCCGGTGCGCCTCGGCAGTACGAGGGAGCGTGTGCGGTGTCGACAAACCTTGGGAAATACAGGGGACGGCACGTTCTGGTAGGTGTGCTCTTTGGGATCGGTTCTCGTCGTGGATCTTGGCGCGGGGACTGGCGGCGGGTCGTAGTCCTTGTCGGGCTCCTCGTCGTCGTTGGGCACCCGCTTGTCCTCGAGGCCTTGCAAGGCGGTTCTCAGCTCGCGCGCGTCCGCCCGCGACAGGCTCGACGCGGGCGAGCGTTCCAGCGATCTCAAGCTCGCGGCGAGCGTGCTGCTGCTGCTGAGACTGCGGTGCGGACAGGCTCGGTAGATCGGTATCGCGTACAACTGATAAATGGCCGACCTAGACGGCGCGCGACCTTCGTCGTCGCTGCGCGAGTGCTCGATCTGCTGGCGTCTGTGGCGCCGGCACAGCCTCAGCGAGTAGAACTGCGTGGCGTCCTGGTGGCGAGTGCGACTCTGATGGTGAAGATGCCGATAATGATGGTGATGCTGGTGCTGGTGCTGCTTGCGCCTGCGCGGCTTGAGGCTGTTGTATCTGGGCTCGGGCGAGATCGAGCGCGGCATGTTGTTCTCGCTGAAGTGCGGACCGAGGTGACTGCAGCGCGTGGTCGACTCGTAACCCGAGCTTGACGGCCGCGACGAACACGGCGACAGACTGAGCAGTGTCGTGGTGGTCGTGGCCGTGGTCATGGTCGTGGTAGTCGAGCGTAGCAGGGCGAACGCACTCGGGCAGCCATGCAAAGCCGAGGAGCTCGCAACGCGCCGCGTCAATCTTGGCGACGGGGCTGCCGCTGCTCCCGGCTAAAACACGCGCACGACAGGCAGGCAACACAAGGCACAGCGCCAAGCACGACAACACGGAAACACACAGGTTGTACACTCCGTTCAGATATTTATGTGCTGTTTGCTAACGCATGGTGCAAAATATCAACAATGCGCGTGCATGTCTCGTACACAAGCAAGCTTGCGCAAGCTCTCTAATGCGCTCTGATTTCTTGTGCGATTCCGATGTGTGTGCGCGTGTGACTTTTGTGCCTTTTGTGATACAAGCCACTATATGGACTCTTCATGGAATTTAATCGTCGCTCGAGGGAAAAGCCAAATTTCAGCGAAATCATGATTTCGCTAATTTATCCAAAGTCTTTATTACTTAGGTATTTAGTTGGAAAAATTAAAAATCAAAATTAATTCCGGGTGCCTGGGCTAATTGCCGTTGTTAATTAATCCGTTCAGTAATTGCCCGGTGCATTCGAAAATTAATTCACGCGAACCAGACGATATATAATTCGATATTTTAATAATAGAGAGCCTTTAGGCACACGACTGATAATTTATAGCGATAGAGCAAACTTATACGCGAAAATATAATGAATCAAAAGTTTTCGACAAAATTCTCCCATTTAGAATTCTCATATAATGCATATGAGTGCATGTGTGGCGTGTGTATATACGAATGTGTGTGTGTGCGTGGATAACTCTGTAGATGTGAGCACAGGGACGAGGTATATACGTTGCGGACAAGTATATATGCACGCGGGACTGGGTTTGTTCAAAAGCCGTCGTCCCCATTCTGCTACGACCATAATTATCTGGGTGATGTGTAGTCTTAGCTCGCACTAGGCGGACTTTGCGCACTTGAATGCCAGCTCCATTACTAGTCGACTGAGCTTTCGCAGTCAGTTCCTACGGTATTATGCTCCGGCCAGCGAAGGCAAAGGAAGGAGAAGGAGTGGACGGAATCCCTGATATTGCGAATTACTTGAGCGCGTCGATTAATTGTTATTAAGTTGCTCGCCGAGCAGCGACGCTTCCGACCAGCGATAACGATTAATATGGAAGGCGCCTTAATGCTCCTAGTGCGCTTGTGATTTGTTAGGGAGGGAGAGAGGTTGTTATCTGGTTTTTGCAGCACTCCAATTTCAAAGTAGAGCATAACGGGACAGCGGCTAATGTTTAGGCATAACTTAATTGGGCGATTTCCGGAATCGTGGCTAAGCTAGACGACGAAAAAAAGGGTGCTATATGAAGTTTGCAGAAATTAGTGCTAACGAGGACATCATTAATGAGCGTATTCAGCGTAATATACTGAAACAATAGCTACTTGCTTAATACCTCGGGATGAAGACGTTAATATGAAAAGTGCACACGTCAAACTGTAATATAAAGTGGAGAAAGTGCAGGCCCATTATGATATTAAGCCCCATTCACTTTAACGATCTTGTATAAACGCTTTCAACCACGCGCTTCAAGTTTTCGGCGCTGCCCCGACTTGAGGACTCTCTAGATAGCAAGCCGACACTGTCGCTGTCTGGAACTACGGATATTAGAAATTTCGCGGGGCATTGTAGCCGAGAGCTCGGCCATTCGGAAGCGAAGCTTCCATCGACGAGAGATATAAAACTGCATATACACTCGCGTGTGATTGCAATCAGCATTGTGTGCGGTGCAGTCGAGCGAGAGAGAAAAATAAAAACGGCACAGCAGGGTCCGGCGTTACTCGCATAGCTGTAGCGAGACTTGCAGTAGGTTAATTGGCGCAAACGAGAGACACTCGAACAACACTTCAATCCCGGCGCGCTCTCCAATTATGTCGATTCTCCGTGCCGTTCTTTGTTTTGTTTCCAATCTCTCCCGTACACAGGCCTTCCCCTTGGCAGCCGAGCTTCGCCCTCGATTTGTCGGCGCTGCAAGCCTTCGCAGCCGCTATTGCTGGTTATGCGCGCGGAAAGAGAAATCCGCTTATCGACCCGCGCAATAGGCGGAGGGATGAAGGCCGAGAGAAACAATCTCGCTGGCAGCGAGGCACGCGAATCTATCATACGTCTTGAGCAAAACGGCTCGGGGCAACGATATGCACGCGGACGCTCGGCTTGAAGGGCCATCGCTCAACTGCTTTATTTTACAAACTTTATTGCCCTCGCGTCTTGCATTACGTTACGCGCGCGCTCTGATTAATGATCTGTACCAGTTGGCGAGCCGCCTTTGCTCGACGAGTAAGCCACTCTGATGCGTTTTCGAATGCTTTAGCAGAGACCAATTGATTCGCGCCGATCGACCGATATAAGAAATTTCACCGAGGCGCGGGTCTTGGGGATACGCGAATAGAAATTTCGCTCGTGTCGGTAATACGACCGACAGAGCTGCCGCTGAATGAAATCGGTTCAGCTTGCGAACAATCCATTTCCAATGGAATATTTCCGAGTGTTATTTCAAAATCAAATTTTGTAAAGGTAGCGAAGGTCGGACTGCGAGCGAGGGAAGAAATCGAGGTTTAGCCCGACGCTAAACAATTTCGTCGGGAATAGGTATTTTATCGATACAAGCTCTCGCGCGCAGTGATTCGTATTCAATAAGCGTGCGCGTGCCTGAACAATGGCAGCGCGAGATTTCGTTCGCTCGCGAGAGAAATAATAGCGACACACACGACGCTGCTGCCAGTATAAGAGCAGGAAAGGATAATTTTGTAGCGCAAGTTCGAGAACCGAGCTTATATATGTACATATCCACGTATTCGCTGCCCCGGTGCGGCTTTAATTTCTCGCTGTGTATTCCATTGTGTTCGGTAAGGCATTAATGGGATTTGCCGCAGTGTGTCCGAGCAAATCTAGTCGGTGGCGCTTTGTGCAAACGTCCGAGAAAGGCCGAGGCAGCTACATATACCCATACAAACACTAACGCCTTCCCCCCCCCCCCCCCTGCCCGCTCACTCTCTCTCGCTCATCTCACGTACGCGCCATATAAATGCACCTGCTTCGCTGCACAATTATCGCCCGCCACCTGATTATATCAGCTGAACCTGTAATGTTGCAGATTTACGGAGGTAATAGCTTCACCCAAAATTATCCAACTGTTTGTCGATTGACGTATTACGAGTTACGAAGAAGCCTCAATTATTTTGAAGTTTTAATCTGTGAAATATCCGGCGTAAAGATTAGATTTCACGTTTAGGATGATGAATTTCAATAAATTCTTTTACTTACACATTATAATCGTGATTTGACAGAGGAAACAACTCCGAACACGCATGGTATTGGAATTAATGAAGCGGCAACTCCATCGAAAATCCAAATGTTGTTTCACATTGCATGATCTGCATTTGAAATAGCCAATGCACGGCGCGCTTAAAAGTTTGCTTTAGCAATTAAAATCGAGTTAATTGAGTTCTAATGAGGTCAAATTGGGTCGTGAAATTTATCCGCATAACTTTGTCTGTGTGATAGAGCGTGTGATCGCACCGGCTCGCAAAACTAACCATCTCGTTTGCGTAAATACAGCCCTGCGCGGACACACGCAGCTAATCTACGTCAGAGTTTATCAACGATCAGTGCGCTTTTGCGCTTACATCGATCAACTGGAGATTATTAAGCTAACTGGTACTCATTGAGAGAGAGAGAGAGAGAGAGAGAGAGAGAGAGAGAGAGAGAGAGAGTTGCGTTAACGGGTCAGTAGTCTTGATAGCAATTTCAACTTAACGTAATGACCTGGTTATAGAATGCAACATAGATATATGTTACTTGATCCAAGCTAACTTGATCACTCGGAATTATCGAATTTACAAGTGAGTTTATCAATTATTATCAGTTCTCCAACATTTGCCACCTGCGTTATAATGACACTCTATAGTAGTTCGAGCTTGATGAGCGTTCGCTTGCATGCACGATTTTCTCGCGAGCAAACGTCAATTATGTTGATGATGTTTTTCGAGAAATAATAAAAGTATATTTTACAGACAACTTGCTTGGAAGTTTATAGGCGAGTGATGCTAACGAATTAAGTAACTACCACTGGAAGATTGGTGCTTATTCAATGTACTACCTTGAATTATCTTATAAACCTTGCTATAGCGAAAGAAATATCGTGTATATTTTCAGAATCGTTAAACCAATACACTAATTTTAAATTTTTGAAGATACCTTATTGGTTGAACGGTATCCATTCTTTGTATCGTTAAACAAAATCGCACATTGAGTTTTTATAGTAGAAACGCAACATACTCGTGGCATTAAATAAAACCAATTTTTTTGGCACTCTGTCACGAGAGCAGCATTAATAAAAGTATTCTATTGTAGCGCGAAATTTACAATACCCGCAGTGTACATTTATCCATGCGCGTGAACCGCATCTGAGACAAATTTCTCCCAAGTAGCTCGTAGCAAACTGGGTCATTACCTTAAAAACACTTTATTCTACCATAAAAGAACGACTAAAACAAATAATAATAATGCTCTGCACGCATTTTTTTCCAAGGTGAAGACGAAGAAAAATAAAAGAAATTGCAAGGAGAATGTTGACATTGCAGCGTGAAGATTAATGTCGAATGTTTGAGCTTGGCGTTGAAGGGACCTTAACTATGTTGGAATTTCGCTTGATGGATATTTTGTTCTCTCTTTTTTTCGTCCTACGGGTCTCGAGTAGACGCGCATAAAATTCGTTCTCTCGTATACCACGCTTCTTTTATTCCTCGTTCGACCAGCTTGGGGCATTCGCTTTTTCGCCTGGCTGTTGTATTTTGCGCACGAGAGTCGAGATACTTCAATTACCAACGGTAGAGGGTCTACGTGCTTGACGAGAGTTGAGTATATGTGAGAACTTGAAGTATTGTGCAGTGAGCGCATTTTCCGCATTTATTAATTCAAGTGGCTTTTTTCTAAATTATCTTCCTGCTTCGTTTCGTTCTTTTTCTACTCGTTCGCGTCGATAAGTGAAAATTCCTCTTTTTCTTCTCTGGTATGGAAACCATCCATCGATCCAATTAAGCGTGTGTCGGTAAACAATAGAAATTAATTAGAGAAAGAAAGAAATAAAGTTGTAGGCAAACCGGTCGAGTAGTGCTCAATGCACGAGGGAGAGACGGCCGAGGGCGGTTCGCATAATGCGATCGTTTCACGGTGACTTTGGCCCGAGGACGTCTGAGTGGCTCGCGTAACACTGGGGTCTTATACCTACTTGGTTTTCCCGCTCTCTCCCTCTCTCTCTTCTCGCGGCTCGCCACACTACTCGAGTGCTATACTGTCTCGAACCCACGCGGAATTAGAGGGTTGCTCGCTTACCTCAGTTTTTCAAGCGGGCACGATTCGAGTGGTGCTTAGGATGGATCTTCGAACGGCATTTCTTACGTGCCAGTCTTTTTTTCGTTCATTCTTTTCCGACAAGCGCTGTGAAATTTCTCGTGTGCTAACGAATCGCGGTTAAGTTCTCACGGTATAAGCTTAGTTTCTTGAGCCGAAAATTCGGATTCGAAAATAGGATCGCCAAATTTCAAATATAGTAGTTATAACAGACAAATATAGAATAGTATTATCCAAGCGAAAATTAATACTGTGACACTGCTGAAACTCAACAGTTAGATATCTTTATGGAATATTATTTGATCGTTGGACGAAAAGAGATATTCTTATGCTCTTAAAATTGTGATTAGCGATGAATTGGGCATGGGAATTGTCGCGATATAATAATTAAATGAAATAATTTGAAGAAAAAAAAACGATTCTTATCCAATTTCGAATAACGTTCAATTCAGCACGAGCTTTCGTTGCCTAAATGTATTTTAAATTCGTCATGTTTTATCTTGTAGCTGAATTGGTCGAAAAGCGAAATTCGATCAGTCGATGTCCCCTAACGCGACGGCCCTTTATACGCTTGGACGGAAGAAAGAAAGAAAGAAAGAAATAGTTTCTCAGGGGTTTCTCTCTCGCAACTGGACTTATGGCGCGTTAAAATTCCTGAATGATTGCCGACTCGAGTGTGCGGCACTTGGCTTTACTTTTTTTTTATTTCTTTACGGCCGCGCTCACTCGACGGGAATAATGTACGCGATTACGCGATAAGACGCCAAGATTCTGGCCCCCGTCGCCAGTTGGCTCTACGAATCGGTTTTCACCCTTTGAGCAAATCAGCCTGTTACGAGCTACCCCATCCCTCAGAAATTTCAAATTCTACAGTATGTCCGCATTACTTATAATATATTACCTCTCTGATTTCACTAAGCTTTCCGCGCGATTTTTTTTTTCACACTGATATCCGATCGAATAAAACGTCCGTGATAATTACAGATATCGAAAAATAATACTCGGTTAATTTTTTATCAAATATTTCAAATTGGATTTGTGCCCCAGAAATGATCGTGCTTCAGACTTTCGATTTCAAATTTCATTACGTCGTGGAAAATTATTGGAAAATGGATATTATTTGTTATAGCGCGCAATATCGCGAGCAGGAGAGTCTTAAAAGCGTAGCGGCTATGGAAAAATCTTGGAAATTGGATAAAAATTTAGCCAGTAGCTTGCGAGACGAGAGAGAGCGTGCGTCACCAGCAGTTGCGAGCGTGTATCTAACAATTCAATAATGATTTTGCGCTGGCAATATCGGGTAGCAACGCTTTTGATCGCCAATGAAATGAAATCAAAGCGGGATACAAAAGAAAAATGGAGGGCGGCGAGATGAAAGGGGCACGACGAGAAGAGATCGGGATATCAAGTCCCTACCACTACACCTGGCGGTCGTCGTAAATCGTCCTGGGTAGAGCGGGCGATCGACTGTAAGTGAATCCGCGATATTGCCGGGGGGACAATAAAAGTGCACAACGCCCGCGTGCTTTTTTTTTCATTCCATTATCCTCTCGCTGTCTCGCGGGCGATGATTTGTTGCATCTCGTCCCCGTGACATTGTGTATGTGTTCGTGTGTGATTTGCTGAGATCCCAAGAAAATCATCGATAAATCGAGCACTCTTATTTATAACGAGCAACGTACGTGCAGGAAATACTGTGCAGATGTGTGTTACAGACAAACCTTGTTCGGCGGCGATTGAATACCGTGGAACGGCAGGTTCTCGTAGAAGGTCTTGGTTTCTGGCTCTGACAGACCCTCCGAGACGCTGTCCATGTGGTTGCTATGGGCTCCCTGGCTGGGGTCTGCAAATTATATTCAATCGACGTGATATCGTTAATTTCGTGCTTTTATCGGACATTTACAAATGAAGCTGATATGAGCTCGACTGCTGTACGTACAGAATATAATCATTATATATAAGTTAATTGATCATTATGATACAACGTCGGCTTATAAGCTTCATCACTGCCGCGGAGGTAATCTAATCCATACTCTATTTTCCATTCTAACCTTCCAATGTAGTTGTTCACGCGATTCACATTACATAGAAGAGAAAATTAGCTGTACCATCACCATTCGCGTCGAAATTTCATTTTAATTATCGGAGCTTATTATTTTTTAACGCGGGTGTACAAATTGATTTATGACGTCTCCGTCAAAGACATTATAGTAATAACGTAGTCTCTAAGAACATTTTTAACAACTTGTCATCCATAAGAGTGCTATTCCCTACGAAAGTCTAGGTGCTGTGTTGTTAGTGTATCTAGGTAACATAAGGATAAAGAGGCAATATTAATGTGTGAAGCATCTCGGAAAGTTAGTATTCGCATTCCATTTGTGCGGTAGTGTGTGAATGTTGCAGGAAAGGTGAATGGGGAGACATTCTGAAGGATACGATAATGTTATTTTAACACAAAACTGTTCGCAATAAAATTATTATCTTTCGAAACAGACAACAGAGTTTCGTTGCCACGTTCATCTTTTGCGATGTTACAAGTTCTTTTCTTGTAAACAGGTAGTTAACTCTGCATCTCACCATTACTAAATTAATGCTCGAATATCAGTGATGAGTTATTATCAATAAAACGCAAAAATTAACATTAGCAAGTTCGATTCCAGAAATGAAATTGGACTGCTTGAGTTTCATTTTTTTTTAAATTGAATTAATATTTCTCTGTGTGAAGGAGAAACTATAGTAATTCTCCATCTATATATATATATATATATATATATAGCAGTACGTTTTAATAGACGTCGGGAAAATATTGTGTTTTCTAATGGAATTCATTTAGAATACGTTCAGTTTGTTTTTTGATTAAAAATATAGACAGTAGAGGAAGAGAAAAAACTAAAGTGGCACGATGAATCAATTATTACAATATATATATAAAATATAAAAAAATATTAAGTACAGTAAGGAGCGGAGATAGAAGCTGCAGTTTTCATTTCCGTTGATAATTTTGTTTAAGGCGACGAGTAGCGGTGCAGAAAATAACGCAAACAAAACGCCAAGCATTATAAGTAATAGTCACAGCAGCAGCAGAAGCCCATTAGAGTTGAAAGACAAAAGAGAAAGATAGAGAGAATGAGAGCCAAATTCTTGGACTATCGGGTGGTGATGCTAGGGGTGATGGTGATGCTCCGACAATGGACGCAAGTTTGCGGCCGGCCGAGCGAGCAGCTGAGTGCATTGTGGGAGTGCAAAAGAAGGAGAAATAGAAGGAGCGGAGTGGGGTGGTTGAGTATAACGTACCTGCCCCAGGCTTTTTGCGCTTACGAGACACATTGTTCCTGGCATGATGCTGCTGTTGCTGGCTGCTGGCACTGCTGCCGCTGCTAACCTGTCGACGTTGCTCATGCCTTGAATGAGGTGACTGCTCCGGTCGTGGCGCTATTCTCTTGTACGTCACGGCTAAACGTAGCAAGAGCCAGAGAATGCGTTCATACACATAGACATCGTATGCACACGCGTACCTATACGCACACACACATACACACGCATGCAGCGGAGAGATAGTCGTTGTTGAGGCTTTAATGGGCGATCATGCCCATGCCACAAACGAGACGAGACCAAACGAGATCACGTGCTTTGCGAATGAATATATCGTTTCTGAGCTAAGCTGCTCGTTACGTTCGTACGTCGACATTCGGTTTGTTGCACTCATCACAGTTTGCTCATTGACAATTTAATTATCGCATTTAATTCCAGCTCTAGGTTCAGCTCTGAAGAGAAGTAGGAAAAATCTGTTGCAAGATTCTATATCAATGTCGAAATAAAACGCTACGGCAATGATTTCAGTTAAGAAGCTTCCATTATAGGAACGTACAATGATAAATATTATCTATTATACAAAGACGAAGAGCAATGTTTGATTCGCGTGTCAAAATGATAGAACATATGTGCCGCATTCAATGTGTACTGTGTCAGATCAGTGAGACAAATGCCAAAGGATTATCCGCGAAAGTATTCATCTAACAACAGGTATGAATTTGAATGTTAGGCGAGTACGCGCGCGCATAGATAATGACAAAGCGACGTGTCGATATGCGCGGAATCCGAGGAATTTTCTTGGTATCCTCTTTCCACGCACGTTGGGATTTTACCCTTGGAGCGGTAAAAATCTCGGGTTTCACCAATCACGTATCAGCTCGGAAATAAAGATCTTGTCTCGCCTCTCGAAATACGGCAGATCGCCCGCCCGCCCACGCGCGCAGCCGTGCGATCGAGCGCAGGGATGGAAAAGTAGAAAAACGGATCGAGTGTCATTCGTGCGAGGCGCGCACGGCACCCGCTCATGGTGTAACACATATTGGATCTTTTGTGTCGGCTGTGAGTGGAGTCTTACACGAGAAAGTTGCTCGAATGAAGACTCGGATTGCTGAGGATTATTGCGACGAAAATGCTGGATTATTTGTAAAACTCTTATCGGTTCGCCTAGTTTTCTTTTCAGCTATGACGGTAATCCTACCGGATTTCCAATAAAAAATTTTCGCATTAAAAAACACAAATGTAATCACAGTCACGGCCGATAATTCTCGCGCATTACGGCATCCGAGGAGATTTTTTTTCAGTTATGAAGCCTGCAATGACAACGCTGGTATGCGGGTCTTGGCGGAGGCGAGAAAGAAAATAAAATTAAAGTGCCGGCGTGCGAAAGGGGCCCCTGAAGCGATTACTTTCCGAGCGCTTTAAAATGGGGGCGCTGTTAATGTGGCGTCAAGTACAGTGTCACGCGCGCACGGGCTTTATTGAAAGCTAGATGATGAGATTTGCTTCGTGCGACAAAGAGCTCCCGCCTCATTTGCGTTTTTTTTTTCGACTGAAAGAACTAGGATACTTTGAAAGAAGAAGAGGAATCATCATCAAGACAATACAGATAGATAAATGACAAGAGGATAATACTGCTGCCTTTTTTTTCTTCTCCATCATTATCATTGAAAAGTCAATGGCCCGGTCAATGACATCCCGAAAATGTAAAAATTGAAACTGAAACCGGCAGGAAGAATCTGCTGTTGACATTTTGAAATGCGATTTGGTGCAGGGATCGCTTCCGTGAATGGAATACGTATCGATTCGCTTCGGTCTCAATTGAACTCACTCTTACTTATTAGGTCAGCCAAGCGAATCGATACTCGGATACATAGAAGCCCGGTAAAAAGCGTATAGATTACTGATTTTGTTTTCTCGCTAAATCCATCTCACTTTCGTCCAATTGGCCCGGGAAAAGCGCGTGCGCCTACACGCATGACACTCCCGAAAGTGGATACGAAAATGGGCTGCTTTCAGGCGCGAAAGCGATACTATACCTGTTTTGCCGCGAGAGATACCAGGAAAAGTGTCAGATTCCTTGAGCTGTGCACTAAACATCGCCCTGATCTTATTGGTTCTTGCCATCACATTATCATCCTGAGGCGATTGTCTCGACTGCAAAGGTCTCGTTGAATCAGGACTACCGAGACCCGAGCGCATGCTGTTGATGTGCACGAGTACACCGGGTTTCAGTGGCCAGCGAGGTGCTGGCGAAGAGGTGGGCTCTTGGGGCTGCGATTGCTGCTGCACTACTACCGTCGTCGGTGATGGTGATCCGCCATCGGGGCTTTGAATGGTCGACGATTTATTGCTTGCCAACGATTGACTGTTAGGTCGAGCCAGGACGCAAATGGTATTTTAGGACTGACTGTAGCTCGGGAGAGTTTGGGATTGTGTGGTTTTGTGGACCGTGCCGATGAAAATTTCTTTGGCTTTCGCCTATTGAAACGATTGATGGATTATTATTGTTTGTTGATGCAAGCTAGATGTATAACCATCGGCTCGGCGTAACAGTCTTTCTTTTATCGAATGGCATGAGGGGAAAATCAATAGTACAGCTTTTTCTGTGGTTAGCCAACATAGAAATTGTGATTTGTTTTCAATTTCATCGTCATATACGATGAAGGGAATGAATACAAATGGAAATATCAAATAATTTGTCACAATTGAGATTTCAGTAACGTGAAACGTTTGTGAAAGTCATAATGACTTGACATTTCCTTCATGCCATGATAATGTATAATATTGTTTGCACTTTACGACCAGCCCACTTTACCATCACCAATAAATCGATCTACTGCCAAAGTAACGAATATTTCATCGTTTATATCTTCGACTTTCAATTAATATCATCAGCATACCTAGTCTAAGTCTTTGCGAACCATCACCGTTAATCTAACTAGGAATAGTGCACCGCAAGAAAAGTTACCGAGAAAGCTGAATAAAAAAGGAAGAATGAGCAAGAGTGGCTTGACTTGGCCAAAGACTCTCCTATCTGCGAGTGCTACAGCTGTTTTCGCGTCAATTTTACACTTCAGAGAACAGAGAGGTAGCCTTTACAATCTCGCACCGAGACCATTATTACATTTACGGTTTTATGAAAATATTGACTCGAAAATGAAGTTGACGAGACTTGGGTCACCTGTTCGTTCGCTAATTAATATGGTTTTATGGTTTCGTAGACAATAGTTAATTGATGAGGTTACTTTTCACCGGATAGCTTCATGAAGCACTTATATGCATCATATCATTTTGTGACTATTGTAGCGCTATTATATACGTAGTTAGCATTAATGAACAGCACAGAGGAGAAACGAGCTACAGACACATTGCACCGTAATAGTGCTTGGAAAGTTAAAGACCCGGAAAGACTCCTTGTTGGTAATATATCGAGGGATTTTCTCGGCAGAAATGAAGACAAGCGCATGCTACGTAGGATATCAAAGAAGCCGACGAAAAGTGTTACATAATCCATCATCGCACGTGCACACACGCACGCACGCACACACACACACACACACACTTACGCGCTCACAATGTCGAAATATCAAAAAAGTCCATTAAGTGAGTCACCGTTACCTCATTTGCAAGTTGCGTCAACGGTTCGGTGCTTCATATTATCTGGAGTCATGCGAAAGCTTGCCCTGTTTATCATTCTATGATAATAAGCGAATCTACTGCAGCATATAAGAAGCGACTTGAGTAAAAAAGAAAGAAAAGCAAAGGCAATAAATGTGAGCAGGTGAGCAGACACTATCAAGCAAACTAAATTATGCAAGGGGTGGCAGACGTCGCTTCACTCGGTAATACAAAGAAGCAGATTTAATGATCGTTCGGTTCGCGTCGATTTAACAGCGAGGTAAGCAAGGGAAGGTTGCATAATCGAGAGTAACAAGTTGAGTTCGCGAGCTAGGATTAACGAATGTCAAGGCATAAATCACAATAATCGCGCGAGCTTCCGAGTTGGTTAATTATGATGTTACATTAAAATCCAAGTGTCGCGGAGCCACGCCCAGAACAATTAAATATCAAAAAGCTCTTGGATTCTAGCCAAAGGCTCATACTATATATAAGCCATGTCGTACTTTCCAAATTGCGTCCTGCCCCTTCTCCTATCAAAGCTTTGTGGTTTTGATTTTATACTACTTACGGCGATGGTTATCGCTGGAGAAATTATCGTAAGACGAACTTACGGCTGCCATTTTCCATAGACCGAACTTATCGCGTTAAATCCAGAAGTAACATACATGCATGCAATATAGTTGAATTTTCGTTGTACCAATTCTAAAGAATCGTCGCAACAAATCAAAGTCGGTTTGTCACAGTTGACAGACAACAGCGCAACCGTGCGAAGGGTGTAAAGTGAAAAGCACCTCTAGAGTAAAAAGGTCCGCAGTAAGCTCTTTTCGAAGGCGTATCGTGGAAAAATCCGGACAAAGCAGATCAACGCGGCGGACCCTGCTCGACAGCTCTTAAATCCGAGCGGGTTACACGAGCGCATCAAGCTCCTTGTTTGAGTTCATTAGCGGCCGCCCGAAAGGTGCATTATAAATTGTGCATTTGTGTCTGTGTACACAGAAGTGCAATCAGTGCAGGATTACTCGTTGGTACTTACTGCTCACGTTCTTCCAATTCGACCACTCGATTATTGTCTGTGAGTTGGCGTTTTAATGTCCAAGGTGTTTTATTTTATAAAGCGAGGAGAAGGACAATCAAAGTGAACAAACAAAAATTAATATGTGAGTATACATTTGGGATTGTAGTCTTTTGCGGATCGCTTATTTATATGTGCGTCTTTTCTATTTATTCGCACTGTGTGATTGGTTGTAATTACGGATCAAGTCAAATTTGTATGTGCAAAAAAATGATTGCTCAAAAAAAGTTGTTTATCAATGTGATTAGTTGGAAATGTGGTAGTTCATGGCAAATTACATCAATCTATTGACTTATCTATTACAAGTGATTTGATAAAACTGAATCAAGTTTAATATTTGAAACTTCGGATAGATGTTGACAGTGACATGCCAGACAAAATTTCATATTCAGCGTCCACAAACAAATCCATCGATGATCATATGGTTTGTTTGAATCGATTATTTAATGTTTTCCTTACTCTGATAGTTTTATTGTTATAATTCAGAAACACTTTTGTAGTAAAGGTCGAGAACTTACATTTTAATTTGGTGTGTTTACGTCGACACATTAGGAAAATGACGACGCAGATGACAATGATCACCAGTATGATTATTACCGTTGTGGCAATAACAATGACTAATAGATCGCCGTCTAGTTTCAGCCACCAGGGAATAGTCGCTGCAAGAATCATCAATATAATTTTAAACATCTTTCATGGATAATAGAATTTCAGAATTGTATTGGACATTTATACAAAAAATAAATATATCCAAAAAACAAGAGAAACAAAATAGAGAGAAAAGAAAGAAAAAAAATTTTCATTGCACCTAGAACCAACACAAAAGGCGTAAAGCAGATAAAGAAACCCACTTTTTAATTCCGTGAAAGTCACATTTGAATGAATAATCACACGCTAGCTCATTGTGCGGTTCGCGCGGTAGAAAATGTCGCAGTGTGAAAAGGGCTAGCCGCAGCACCTCATTGATCCGAGCCTTCAATGAGTTCTTTAATATGCTAATGCGACCCGCGTGCGCGTCGAAATGTCTTTTTAGCGTGTGACTTTTTTTTTATCTTTGTGCGCAAGCTTCGTTCACTTTGGTTTTCTTTCTCTTTCTTTCGCTTTTTAACGGGGTGACGACGAGCGCGTGCTATAGAAAAAGTTTACAATGCCCTCTTGTTCGCCACGGCCATTTTAAAGCTTTCCGCAAAAGCATGCACAAAAAATTCTCGGGATTCCAACTATTCTGTGAAAATTATGTGCTAAATCGAGCCACATTGTTGTAATCTCTCAGAGTTCATCTAATAAAAAAAATTGCACTAATAAATTGAATTTGGAAGTTGTAAAATGAATGCAATGCATTATGACAGTGGTTTTTTATGCGGTGATTAATGCAATGTTTATAAGTCAATCATTATTTGAATAACGAAAATTCTCGAGAAGCTATTTGAAAATTTCGAAGTGAATGTTTGAATTATAATTGATTAGATGTCAGGTGATTGAAATTTTTCAACTAAAATTTACAACAGGCTAGACTCGAACTTGCGTTATTCCGAGAATCAAACTTATTACGAAGCATGGAAATTTTGTCGGCAACTTTAAATTAACTAAAAACTTAGAACAGTTAATTTTGATGAACTTTCCATGTTTTCACGTCGAACTCAATTTAAAATTTCAAACATAGTGAATTCAAAGTTACATAAATGAATCAATGCAAATCAAAAATTTGACTTACTATCCAGTCCTTGGTGTGCTAAAAAATATTCAAACATAGTGAATTTAATAGCTAATTCAATTTGAATGAGAGAAAAATGATGTTCCTCTTATTTATCTTTCAAATTTTAAGAATTATGAGCATACTTTGGTGTTTTGACATTATGAAATATATACCGTATTCAGAACCTAAATCAAAACATAATGACTCGTGTCAATAACCAATATCAGTTGCAAGTATAAAGCGATATAAGCGTACAATGAATCTGTGTTATGTAAGCACTGAGCGTAATAACATGCCATACGCCCGTAAATTATCGTGACACAAAGATTAATCTATGATCTATTGAAAAGCTATCTATCGGACTATCGTCAAAACACTGAAAAACATACTGATAAAATTCAACTAAAAGTATTTTAAATTATCTAGAAATTTCATTTACCAGGCACGTGACGTTCGCAGGGATTGGACGGTCCAATAGTATTGTTAGCGATGCAGACGTAGGTCCTCGGGTTCGAGACAGAGTCGTCGAGCGGCAAGTAACTTTTGCCGTCTTTGGCGACGGGCACCGTTTCGATCGTGTCATTGTCACTGGAAAGTGACCAGCGAAACTCGTACTTTGGCGGATTGCCCTCGGCACTGCACACCACGTAGTCTTTCCCATCGTCCGTTACTTTGTCCACGTGGCACTCGGGCTTGTCTACTCAGCAGGCACGAACGCGAATAATCACGTTTCGTGCACTTTATTGCCCGTCAATTAACAATCGCGTGTTCGTGGTTAATACTCACATTGCACGTTGACGTTGATGGTTCTCGTGGCGCTGCCGATTTTGTTGCTCGCCTGGCAAACGTATGTACCGCCTTCGCTACGAGGGAGGCCTTGTTTAAAGCTTAGAATTGAATCCTCGGATACTATTTTCTCGGGTTTGTCTTCGCGATACCACCGATATTGAGGATCTGGACGTGCCATCGCGTTACAAGTTACTGCTTCGGGTATATTTTCCTCTGTCACGTCTATCGATTTCTTCGGAATCATTACATTCTCCGGTGGAACTGTTAGTCAGAACAAGAGGTATTACATTACGTTTTCTCTACTATGCATTTAGAGCAATTGATTCTTTCAAAAATCATGGGATTTTAATAGTCAAATGGAACTTTGCTATAGCTATAGCTGCTTCAAAGACAGCCAAGTGAAAAAATACTTTATAGTTTCAAATTTTTTTTTCCAATTACATACTATCGATTGTATTCCTCGTATATTTAAATAAGAAAAATGCGAAAGCAATATTCAGTTTTGTCAAGTGAAACTCACAGTAGACTTCAATTTTGACAGTGCTGGCGACACCAGGTCCTATACCATTAGAGGTACTCATACAGGTAAAGGTAACGTCATTGTCAGTTTCCCGGTCCAGTTGACCCGCCGTCCACGCCGTGAGATTCCAATGCAGCGACGAGTTGATACTTTCAAAGTCATCGGAGCCGAGGTTTGGTGCCGTATGTCTGTTCTCCACGTAGTAATGCCTCGTTCTTGCGAAGTCTATGGTTTTGTTGTTCTTCATCCAGACGACTTCGCAAAGTGGCGAGCACTCCACGTGACAGTCCAAACTGGCACTCGTGGCATTGAACACAAAGCCCTTCAGCTGCGGCAGTTTTTTTATGAAGGCTGGCGGCGACGAGATATTAACGAAGATAGATGCGGGGTCACCATCGCCCGCCTCGTTGTAGGCCATGCAGGTATAGTTTGCGCGATATTCCAGTCGAGCCTTTTCGATCCTATAAACGGCACTGGTGATCTCGGTAAGTCGATGAGAGCCACGAAACCACTTGAAGCCCGCGGCAGCTGGTCGGCCAGGATCCTTTACCACGCATGTTATGTTGAGTGGTCGCTTCTTCACTACTCGTCTTGGCTCGTACGATATCGATGCTGGTCCCGGCTTATCTGGAGGAAAGCACGAGCAAGCCATGCTTTTTATGTTCATTCGCTTGGCCGAAGAGTGTTCTAAAAATTTTTCGGCAGCCTTGCTCGTCCTGGCATATTTTTACGCGACTTTTTTACGAGTTGAAGATCAAGTTGACACCGTGCTCCACGTGTTATAACCGCCGTTCTCGCGCATGCGTTGTTATAACGTATACACGTATATGTGCGCGTGGCTGCTGCAGTCGAAAGTGGTTAACGCTCGCAGAGGCTCGGCGACTTCAAAGTGGACTTTAAGCTAATTTAATCAGGGTATAAGCTCGGAGCGTGCAGTGCTGAATGTCGCTCGATAGTCTCTTTTACGATCTCGTAAATCGCGTATTGATCCGCTGCTCGTAAAATGCTCGGCTGCATATATGCATATACGCATGCGGAAGCTCAATATAAGCTTGGATATGCATATACTTTACATAAAATAAATTTCGAGCGATTCAGCCGCCGACGCCGCGGTTCTGAATATCTGGGCGCGCGAAACGCATAATACGCTTCATTCGGATTATTGGATTATTTTTTTCGTGTCTCACAAAGTCATTCGATACAATCGATCGCGGAGAAAAGCAACTAACTTTTGTATTTGACTATTTTAATCAATGTAATTTATAGCTCGAGAGTCGATCGAGTGCCGTTCCATTTTTTCGCAGAACTTTTTCAGTTGTCGATGATTTGAAATATTAACAAGCAGAAAAGATTCTTTATTTTGACTTACAATGAACGATGAGAGGCTTGTTAGTAGATATAGGACCCCAGCCAGCGTCGTTTTTGCCTTCACAGGAGTAGTTGCCATGGAAGGACCTGCCGACCGATTCCAATAGTAGTTTGCTTGGGTCGATGTCGCAGAATTCCTCGGCGACAGTGGCGTTGCCACGCGGTGTGCAGTCGGGTAACTCCTTAAGTAACTCGCCGTCGAGATACCATCGCACTGCCACCAGATATACAGGATTACCTGTCACCACGTCACAGCTCAGTGAGACGTTCGAACGTACTGCTTCGTTAATCGGTGTGCTCGGCTCCATTGTCACCTCCACTATCGGCCGAACTGCAATTTGCAATAAAAATCATTTACGACTCTTTGCGCATAATCATCGGAACGATGTTTCTTTTCCATCGTAGTCGCTCGCTTCACGCTCGAGTTCCCGAGTGAATTGAACGTACATGGAACGTACAGCGGAAAGAAGAGCGTTCGATTGAGTTTTATATCGAAGGAAACATCAATATGTATACAATCAAACAAATCAACCTACACAATACGGACACGTCGATGTATTCCTTGGAGCTCGATGTACCAAAGTCATTTTCCAGTATACACGTGTACTTGCCAATATCCTCGGCAGTGGCATTTTTGACAAGTAAGGCCGTGAGTTCGGTCGTACCGCCTTCGTAGCGCTCGTTGCTCAGCGTCAAGTTCTTTCCGTCTCGTTGCCTGCAAAAACAAGATCAAGCATTTTTTTATTCCGTTTTGTTGTATATCCTACTCAAATACTCCCCCGCTTCTCGTCCCTCTACGCTAGCTGATATATTGCTGGCGTGAAATTGATTTTTTCATGCGGAAGGATGCGCGCACCCTTCGGCTCTCTCTCTCTCTCTCTCTCTCTCTCTCTCTCTCTCTCTCTCTCAATTTACGGAATTTGTGTTGAGAAATTGAATAAGCTGGAGGTAACTCGGCTATTCCTACATGGCGTGCGCTTCATTGGCCGAGAGAGAGAGAGAGAACTTCTTGGATTTTATACTTAAATTGAGTTCAAGCTTACCATACTACGTTTATGAGGGTGGCTGGGTTAGCTTCGTACTCGCAATATAACTGAAAGTCCTCGGTCTCGTTTACTGTTATATTGCTTGGGTTCATCCGGACGATTGGAGGATCTGTAAAAGAACAATAGACATAGTTGGCTATTTTTTATCTTATTCAATTTATATTCCATTAGATTGGCTTTGAAGAATTTTTCAAGCTACTGGTTTCCATTAAATTTTCAATACAGCTTCACGGCAAATATGATTGTCAAATATTCATCTAGTGGAGCTTTGGAAATAACGTGATCAAGAGGAATATTGGAAAAAATATATTGCGCAAAAAGTTAAAAAAATCTTTCATAAAATCCTGTTGATCTGGCCATTATCCGTGGAATTTTTAATAAATTTCATTCAATCGAGGCAATCGAGAATTCGCTTGATTTTCAACAAATGTCATTTACTTTTTAAAGTAACTATTGAGTAATCCTATCAAAGGCTTTGATCACGCGGACGCATCGCAATAAAACCATTCATTTGAGTAGTTCTCTCAGACCTTTGTCATATTTTCGATGCAATTATCTACGGCCAGTTTCGGGTTTTTGCTGGAATCGAATTTCTCTTTGACTGGTTAGCATTTTAATCAGATAGTAATTAATTGACACTATTCTGTTTGAATATATCACGTACTTTAGAGCTTCACATCGACGCCATTGCATAAAGCGCTGTCGAGACATTTTCAAACAGAGCATAGCAGCAGCAGTAGCAGCAGAAGCTATGGTAGCGTAATAGACTGTCGTCCGCGGACGAGGAGAAAGACAGAGATAAGTATGTGTATGTATAGGAAACTAGTTAACCAGATGTGAAAAGAGCCCCGCGGGGGTATGGGAAATGTGAAAGGTGAACGTGACGTGGATCGAGAAAGGACGAATTTGCATGATGCTCTGGTGCTCACCAACAGAAAGAGAGAGGGAGAGAGAGAGAGAGACTAGCTTTCCGCTGGAGCTCACGTTGGGCCTCGAGCACTGAACCTTCCGAAATTGCTCGGTAGTTTGAAAAATTAAAGTAAGTTATTAGACAAGTTCGTGACGTTGCCACTCGACCTCTTAGCTTTGGCAAAAAGTCCACTCGAAACTTTTGAATTTTTTCCTTTACTCGAGTTTCTCGCTATGATGACTTGATACGCAAATATTAAATTTTCTACGCGTGCAATTGTAACTTCATTGCGTGCACAAATAAAGTAGGCAGAGCATGAGAGTTTTTTCATGTTATTGAAACATCAAGAGGATTGAATTTTGATATGAGTCAGAGGTAGGAAGATATACGGTCGGTGTTTGTGAAAGCAATCTGATAGTGTTGCTTACGAACTCGCGGCATGCCCCCTAATATAAAGGGCTACGCGTAAAACGATAATTTAATTTCGTTCTATCAAACACTCATTAATATTCGATAAAATAATAAAATTCCTTCAGAGCAGAAACGCCATTTCCCGTCATCTTGAGAAGTCGTCAAAGTCCTCGTAAAAACCAATATATTGGAATCACTTTGCGCGAGTGCACGCAAACTATGTAAAGTCGAATAAAGAGGCATCGCGTGATCGACTACAATGGAAAGTTGCACAGTTGAATTAAACGATGAGATGATCAGACAAAAGCCAAGTTCTGCTCGTATACTCACACATCACTTCGATGATGACGGTATCCTTCATTGGCTGACTCCCTTCCTTTAGCATGACCGGATTGATCGCCATGCAGCTGAACTTACGGCCGTTGTCGTGCTCAGATGCAGTGAACGCGAGGAAACTGTTAGTCTGCGTGGTTCCGTCGTCCTGTTGGCAAATCGAAAAAAAAATTGAGTGAACAAAAGCTTTGAGTTAACGACAGAAAAAGAGAGAGAGAGTGTGGGTGGGGAAGAGAGAGAGAGGGAGAGAGGGTGGGGAAGAGAGAGAGAGAGAGTGAGAGTGAGAGCCAATAGTAATTCTTTCGCATCAGCGCTTTCACGAGACGATGGCCCATTGACGTTGCCGCGATTAATGAGCCGAGAGAGCTGAATTAACCCACTTTTTTCAGACGCTATGCCTGTAATTGCTCCCCTTGGCGCTTCCCTATTCTTCTCTGGTTTAAGCTCGTCTCCCTTTTATCATCGCGGATATTCAATTTTTTTTTCATATGTCAACTTGATTTTCGGCCCGTTGGCGTAATTTTATTTAAAGGCTTATTAATGTTCCCACTATTCAATATAAAAATTATGGTAATTGATGAACTCTGTGGAAAGGCCAAAAGGAATCGCTTACTAATTTGAATTTTTAAAACGTATCTCACGGCAATCGTTTTATAGATTCACAGTTAATAGCAAGTATCTATAAATTATATATGTATAACTATATCGTTAAATTTAAAAGGTTGGAAGTATTAATATGATAAGCTATATCGGATCATTTTTCGTATTATTTTAAACAATTTTTTTTTTCGGTAACTTCAGTCACGTTTGGCAAGACTCGCGAAGTCTCCACTCAGATTAGAAACGTGACGTAGAACTCAAGGTAGCGCAACGACGCGTCGAACGCGTGATTCATTCGTAAAACTTTCGAACCCGAAATCTCTAGGAAGCCCGCTTGCGAGAGCAATCTTTCCAACCTAATTTTTTTTCAATCTGCAGAACGACGACGGCGGCAAAGAAGTAGAAGAAGAAGCGGCGGCAGAAAATCTATTACGCTACGAGAGAGTAGTAGTCTCTCGCGGCAGTTGCAAGCCGCAAAGGTAATCAAGATAAGTGTCACGTCGCGTGCCGCTGGGAGCTGAGCACTCCCTCTCGTTCTCCCTCTTCCTCGTCATCTTGCAGCGTGTATATATACGCATTCACGCGCGCAAAGACCAAGAAAAGTTTGCTGGTTCTTTTTTCGGGCCGCCTCGCAGGCATAATTTCTTTTCTGCTTCGTCTCGCGACTTTTCATTATCTCGCGCCATTACTCTCATGCTCGCGTGGTGACCCGAGCCAGGAACGTACATTGTCTTTTATCTCTCATCTTTATGCTCGCGCGCTTATGTCCCTCGATACGTTCTATAACGTCTTTTCTATCTTTGCTCTTTTAATTTCGCCGCTCTCTGTGTTTGCTGGCGACACAGCGCTATATTACTTCTATATTGTTGCGGGCTGCTTCACAGATACAACGAACGATTTATCTCTTTCTATGTGCTTTTTTCCCTTTGAACTTGCCTCCACGAATTTAGGTTGATTGTGAATCTCAAAAGCAGCGAAATAGAAATTTGAAATCTGTAGGGGTGCAGACGTTGGAAGCGGCTTTTTTTAGATCTGAACACTTTTGAGTTTCAAAGTTGGTCTGTCGTCATTTATATAAATAGTCTGCCTGAAAAATGTTCAATTTGTATTCAACGCTCTCGTATATAAAAAATTCACCGTTTTTCTTTTATCGAATCGTTGAGGAATATTTTATACGAAGGAGTTATTTTACTTTTGTACAGATAGAATAATGTGAAAAAAAAAACTGAAATCTTTCTAGACTTTCGAAGGGCTTTTTTAATAAATTTACAGCGGGCGCAAACATAGCAAGCAATATATCACTTTGCTTAGATAAAATAGAGTTGTACACGTTACGAGCGATAAATTTGTGCCAGCTCAGAAAAAAGATATACATAGAATCGAGTGTGGCTATCGAGCTCCACGCTAATCAACAAGTAAATAAGAGTAACGCGAAAGGGCGAGCATGTACACGCGAGCGACTCACGAAATCGTAAAAATAAAATAAATAGAAAAAGCAGATAGAACGTAGATAGGCTATAGCCGGCGAGAAAGAGAACTGCGCAATTAACAGATAATAGAGGAACTTGAAAATACATGCAGCATACACTGCGTGTATGAATGAATGTGGAAAAGAGCCGCTAGGGAGAGAGAGAGAGAGAGAGAGAAATACTTTGTGGTAAAGCCAATTGGGGTCGAACGAGGCGCGTGAGTTGCGTGTCAGCCATCGCGTAATGAGACACTTAGCAAACAAAGCTAATTGTACGCTTGGCGATGAGCAAATACGCAGGAGCTACAAATCCATAATTGGAGCAACCCCTCGCACCCCCACCTATACCCCCCCCCTCCCGCCACCCCAAGCCGACGCTTACGTAAGCTTAATAAAAGCGGCCGCAGCGAGGTATGTACGTGTGCAGGTGCACCCATGGCAAGCCAACAAAAAAAAATCACATTCATGCTTTTCGTCGCGATCGACTGATTGCCGAGAACATTTTTATCGTTGCTTGCTCTTCTCATCGCGCTCTTGTGATATCGAGCATTGAAACGTGGCACGTTTCAACGTGCTTTGTCATAATATCTTTTTTTTTCATACAGAAAAGAAATTGTCGCGGCGTTCGTTGTACTTGATAGAGTTAGGTTGCAGCATTGATTGGGACTGAAAATTCAAGTGTTTGCGACGCGACAGAGGGATGAACTTAATCAATGCGACGGGCGAGGGCTTTCGCTCTCGAAATATGGCGCATTCGATGCGGATTAATTAATTCGGCGGTAAATAATTGTACGCGACAACTGTAGACATTTTTGCACGAGCTACTGAATCCCGTTTATCTTGGTGAAAAATGTAGCACTCCCTCTTGCTCGCGTGCGTCCTTTTTCTGCAGTTCTGACGCGTCATTAAAAATGGAAGGAAAGCTTCAAGGGGGATAAGTCGGGACACACAGGAGATGAGATACGATGAAAGATTCAAAGACTCACGTTGTCGGTGAACTTAGTCTCGTACATATCGAGCCGACTACTATTACGATGTAGGATCTCGGTGCCGTTATACCAAGTGACGTTGGCTGGTGGTCGGGCACCCTGCACTTCGCACTGTAGCAATACCTTGGAACCTTGGATCACGTGGCCTACCACACCTTTGATGTCCATTTTCATCGGGCGCACTGCGAACACAAAGAATAGCGATGGATCTCAACTTTCATACATCCATATAGCCAGCTGTACGTGTATTAGTGTGTGCCTGACTGTAGTTCATTGGGGATTTTCTCAGTACTGCCTCTCCTCAAAAGTTTCACAAACTTTACAAAGTTGGATTCAGCTTTGTTTGGCAGCTTTGTGAAACAAATACTTTTATTTATTTTGTTTTTCTTCGATATTTTGGCGATAACGCTAACACGTTTTCAGTTATTAAATCGTCTATTTAGATTTTCTTTTATAACATAAGCAAAGATCGATATGATTACAGTGTTAATAGAATATGCTTCATTAATTAAAAATAATTACATAATTGCACTTTTAACATTCAATTGACAAATTATACATTGTTTTCAAATTCTGATGTACATAAAACTTCAAATACGATCTCGTTTACAAAGTACGGTAGTTTACGTAAAAATATTTAAAAATTATATTTTATTGATAACCACTCGACAGTTTTTTCAAAAATTAAAGTAAAGTGGCTATTGCGTAAAGTGAAATGCGATGCATTATTTCAATGAAATTCCAAATGACACTTTCTCTTTGAAGATCCATGTGTTCCATAAAAGAGTAACTAATGGAATCACTTACTGTTGAAAAGAGGAGGAAAAAGTATATATAGAGTTATAAAGCTGTAAAGAGAGGCGCGAAAAGGGTGACGGGAAAGATCGAATTAAAAGGCTCGCGCATCGGTTGGGGTCGGTAATAGATCGATAAAAAGTGTCAAAACTGATAAGAGGCTCTCTCTCTCTCCCTATTTCCACATCCGTACACCCAAAAGATACGTACGCACGTGGTACACTGAACAAAAAGAAGTAGAGCTGGCTTGTTATGCTGTGGTGCATCCGGATAACGAGAAAAGAAAAAAGTAATAAGAAGAATAAAAGGCAGATGCATTGATAAGAGAATGAGAAATGAGAGTAAGGTTGGTGGAAACTGAAATTGACTCATCAAGGTGTCGAGGAGTAAAAGTCACTCTCAATTTTTCACGCCGTGGTGGCCATTTAAAAGGGTACTGTTTACGCGAGAGCTAACTTTAATTCATAGACCCTCGTCAGCCGTGGGCCACGTCGACTCTCTTTCTCTCTCTTCTCGCGGTCATGGAGGTCCGGCAATAAAGATATCGGACTTTTCCGCAAAGAGAAAGAGCAATGAAAAACGCGGTCGCCTCGAGAGCTTTGTGGTGCGCGCCTCTTGTCCTCGAGATGACGACGGCTCGCGCGCGCGGTACACAAAGAAAGAGCAAAAATAAAAGCAGCTGGCCAAAAAAAAAGAAGAAAAAGTAACGTTTCTTTTTTCCTTCGTCGAAAGACACTTCTCCGGAGTCTTCAAGTATTTCGGTCGTCTCGTTTTATCTCGTTTGGAAAGGTATAACCGTTCTGACAATTATATTAAGCTCGAAAAGTAGAACAACCCGCCAGGTTTGTTATATACCTATGTGTATTCTCCACGAGCCATTGATCAAGGAATTAAATTCGCTCTGTACGTCTCTTGAAAAAAAAACTAGAAAAACGCGGCACAATGATTTAATACGAGCTTGGCTAGTCGTGGCATGTAGAGTAATCTTGCAGATCTATTTGTCATGTAATAAGTTACAGACTAATCTACTTGTCTCGGGATTAGTGTAGCACATTGAGAAAAACAGATTAATACAACTTGCCGCACCACTTGTACGTGAATTATTGCTGTAAAATAAGCTTTTAAAGTAAATTATATGCATTAAGTTTTGGTTGGGAGTTTTGTTTTCAAATTAAAAATGTATAAGTATTTTTTAACGTATATAGTAATCTACATCAAGTGCATGATAAGTTGAAAGTATTCTGTCAAAGGGCGAATTCTATAGAAATAGCTGTAGCAGCTAAAAATCTGCAGGATGTATCAGCGAATAAAAAGACTTCAGATTTTAAGTTCTGAAAGCAGCACGCGGCGGCGCAGAGATAACGAGAATCTTGGCAGAGTAACAGATGGGGGCTCGCTCGCGCGACCAGGCATAATATCCGGCGAAATTGCGATTTTCCCGGCGACAGTAAAAAAAAAGAAAAAGATGATCGAGTCTTAGTGTGGGCAACGACAGCAGCAGTTCGCCGCGTGAAAATATGCTGATATCGTTCGACACCTTCTGCACACGCGCGGGCTACTGCCCAAGTTTTCGTTCGCACGGCTTTTTCCTTTGCGACATTTCATTGGCGATTTCAGCTTCAACGAGAACACGTCGAGTAATGTTTTACTTCGAAAATACTGCAGACAAATGCAAGTTTGTAGAATTTAGTTTTATGAATATAAAAAATTTTACAGCGGTCAACGTTGAAAGAGCAGTTTGATGTAGCCGTGAAAATCGTCGCGACAGCTTTGCGGATATAAAGAAAAATGAACACATCCGAGTGTTTTGAATAAAATATTCTTCCGTGGCTTTTGCTCAGCGTTAAATTTATTTCTTGCTATGAATATGTCATAATTAAATTTTTTCTTCGGCAAACCGGAACTCATTGTTATTCCAAGAATACGTGGACGAGGACAAATAGGTGAGAGAAACCGGTACTCGTCCTACGGTGAACGAAGCGGAACGATAGAATGGAAAATAGCACAAAATACTGCTCAAATGCTGAGATTTGATTAAATTTTATCTCGTCAAATGCACAATGTTTCTTTTTTCTTTTCCTCAAAGACTGGTGATTTCACTATTCGATTTAAAATTCAACTGATTAAAACGCTAAGTAATTTTCGTCGACTTTGAGAATCAATATTCAATGCATATTATTTTAATTTGTAGGTGAAAGATATTTGCTGCTAGAGCAGCAAATTCGTTCCTTTTCTATTAGATGGAAATAATAAGAATTTTCTCTGTGGAATAATGAATATTGTAGTTCGCTGTCTGACAATAAACACAATGGAAAGGAATAATTTCGTTTGATATCTCGAACAGAGATTGAAATATTTTTCACTTTTCTCATTGGAAGATAATGAAAAATTTTTCATTTATACGGTATTTTATGCTAGTAGAACGCATACTGAATTCAATGCAATAATATAATATATTTATAAGTCTCGGATATGAATGCAAATAAAATGAAAATAAAAATATCTTCAATTCTATAATTTTTTTCAATAAATTTGCACATTATCAATGTTATATACGTAGGTGTATTGAAGCTGAAATTTGTGGCAATATTCTGTCGGTTCTTTTTAAGAATCAAAAATTACGAATGCCTAGTTTTCTATATTACACGTGTTTTATATTCTATGAGCAATCAACTGTGCTACTTGTTAAATTTCAAAATTTTCGTTGTTGCAACGACTTTTCAATGTAGAATGCTAGGGTCAAACGGTAAAATGAATGATTATCGCAATGTTATTGGTTGCATTACTCATTGAGTTATTTAAAATTTATTGAATAACGCTATCGATATAATTGTAATTCGTCGCTTTGTTTTAACGTTAAAATATTAGTTTTGACGACGACAATTTGGATTTTGATGAGTAGCGCAGTCGATGATTGATATAACAAAGAGCACGTGGACCATTAAAAACAAGGCATAATATCAAATGCCTTTCGTATTATTCGATTCGGTAAAAAAATACCCCTCTTTTCGTTATTTTTTACTAAGCAATCAACCGTACATTTGTTTAAGAAAAGATAAGGAATAACGCTATCGTTCTTGAAAGTTAAAAATTAGTGACGGAATGTCACCCCTGTGCTAAATAACTAGGGGTAAAGAGAGCGAGTGCAATGCGCGTACAAAGGGCAAAGGAAAGGCCTAGGAAAGCTAAGCAGAGCAGCTAGAGTGGTAATAATATCGCGCTATTTTGTGCTTCCCTCTTGACTCGTCGTCTGGCACAAGCTGCTCGCATGCTCTGCTTTTTTGAAATGCAAGCTTCGCATTTCTCGCATTTCACCTGCACATGCTTTTACATGTGTATGCGCGCATGCTGCTTTTCATGCTTCCCCGATTCCTCGATGCCACTTTTAAATTATAACTTTTGCCTGCAGCCTTTTATTTATTTTGTCAGTTATTTCCACTTTGTGCGTTAAACTGCTGGTTTAAAGGTCAGTTCGTGTTAATTTGGGTTTCAATTACAATCGCGTTGCAAATTATCCGTAATAAATTCGACTTAATTAATTTATCAAATCACACAGTACCATTCTAAGCACTTATAAATGTAGAAGATTCACAGTGGTACATCTACTGCTTATGAGTATTTCTAAATTGCACAAACAGTAGTGCTTCCAGGCGGTTCGCGTCTCTCAGAATAATAGCGTCATCCGCATAAAAGGATCTCGCGTGACGAAATGAGCAAAAGAAAGGGCAGACAGAGTAGGAGAGATAGAGGTGGGCGAGATCAAACAGAGAGGAGAAGATTAAACGAACGCACGAGCTTGGAAAATCCATTGCGCGGATGCAGGAGACAAACGACATTACCGGAGTTGGACCATTAAACAGAGGGCCATCTGCGCTATGGCACTTATTTCTTTCTCTCTTTTCTATCTTTCAATTTCCGTTTCTCCCTTGCCCTCCACTCGCGACTAGCGCTCACTCGCTTTTTCGCACGTGCAAAAACTTTTCTCCACTCGTCGCTGCCATTATCTCAGCGCGGCACCGATACAAGCCTTTAAAATTCAGCAGGCTTGAAAGGATTCCGCTGGCGCTAGCCCCTTCTCCCGCTCTTTCTCTTTCTCAGTCTCCTTTCTCTCTCTCTCTCTCTCTCTCTCTCTCTCTCTTTCCTAGCTTTTAATGTAATATCGCGATAACCCCTTTCGATTTACAACGCGAGTCAGCTTATGCATATAAGCGACTTTTATCGAAGACGAACCACCTTTTTTTTCATTCCCGTTAAACTTTTACGAGATCCTTTGGTGGCCTAGTTTTCTCATGCTTTACACCAATTCATGAATGTACAATTGAAGACTCGTTGAGAATTTCATTGTCAACTTACTGTGCTAGAATACGCGCCATGCGTACACGTAACGAGGCGAAAAGTTAGACGTTGGAAAACTTGTTAAAAGCTTGCACAAGCTATGTATGTACGTGTGTATGTGTGTGTGCCCGCGCACGTGTGTGTTTGAAGTCTATTGATCCAGGAGGTTCTTGCAATTACACGGGACGCTGGACTGGCGCGCAAAGTTTGATGAAAGCAGCGGCTGCTCTTTTCTTACTGAACGACGATGCGGTACCGTTGAATTATCGCTAAGAGGGCTTCTCTCTCGCGCGCGCGTTTCAGCCACTAAATTAACAAGCGACGCAAGAGCTTCTGAGTTTGATGAGTGCCTCCCCTTCCCCCACCTTCTCCCTTTTCACTCGATGATGCTAATTCTCGTGTGACAAACTTATTAATTACCTTCACGATCTACCTTTGCGACCACTACTTTCGAGCGAGTTTTGAAGGGTTCTCACATTAGAAAAGTTCTTTTCAAACTTCGAGGTTCGAATATTTCGAGGCACATTCCTATTTCTGGCACGATGGTATCACGTCGTCTCATATCTTATTGAATACAGTTCTTGGATGATCGAGTACTTTGAATATTTACTGGGAGAAGAAAAGGTGATAGAGTTCTTGAAAAGTTTGAAATTTTTAGATATACGTAATAAAAAATGCGATAATCAAGTCATACTTTCGTAGAATCCTATAAAATAATAAGATACTTGTAAATGAATAGATTATTCGTAATTTTATAGTAAAGTACATAAATCGTTAGCGATTCGGTTGATAGTAGAGACTCTGGCGTTATAGTTGCTTCAAGTCTCATTCAATATTCATTTTTATTTTTCAAAAGATTATATTGCGTGAGTAGAAAAGCTAATAATAAGTTGTCTAATTACTTACCATGCACGTCTAATTTGATGTCTATTTTAAGAGGTTCGGCGAGTGCTAAGCTGCTAACCTTGCAGCTAAAAGTGGCGCCTAATTCACTACGTGCGACCACAAGATTAAGTGTGCCACTTCCTGTGCCGATTTCGTGTTCCTCCAGTTCCGACGAACTTTTCGCTGAAAGTTTAGAAATATATAGGCTTTAACTTTCTCGTATAAAAGAGTATTAAAGTCGACCCCATCAATTGAGTTACACTGAATGGATCGTTTGAATTTGTTTTTTTCAAACTCAACCTTTCAAGAAACTTATAATATAACTTTGTATTTTCCCGTTACTCATTTAACGTATTTCAGGAAAGCTTACATTTATAAATAAAATGATTTTTGCAGTTCGTTTTGTTTTCGAAATTATAGAAAAAAAATCTCGATTCATCGTAATTAACACCTGGATCACGATATGTTTGCAACGGTATAGCTGTGCAAACGGATTAGCATGAAAGCCGGTGGATAGTGAAACTTACACTTGAGTTTAGTGTTACCGTTGTACCACTCGACAGTCGGCACAGGTCTGCCTTTGCCGCTTTCGCATCTCAGTGCTATCGAGGAACCCTCGATCACTGGACCCAGCACGCGTCCGTCCTCCAAAGTCTGTTTCGTGCTTTCGTCCACCACTCGTACCGAGGTAGGTGCCACTGCAAACACAAAGGGAAAAGCCAATTAGCTTTTGCATATATCTGCGGAATAGATTATATGAGATTCAACACATTCCATTGATGAGCTTAATAACGATTTTTGAGCAATTCATTTGTATCACATATTTCAAGTCGTTTGAGCCACAGCATAGGTCTCGTAAAAAAATTCTAGCAGATGCTATAGAATAAATGATTATAAATGTTGCAAGACTATTTTAGTCAGTATAAAATTAACTAAAATAGAATTGGAGCAAAGTTTGTGATAGACGATTGTGCAAATGTTGAATAATGAGGGATTCGAGAGCATTCGAACACATGGCATTGGAAAATAATGGTCGAGAGATGGAGAGCAGGAAAAATGTGAAAACGTATCTGAAAAAGAGGAGGAGACGTAGCACCATTAGGAGAAACTTAAAGCTGCGCTGTATCGATTTATAGATTTCCCAAAAGATTAATGGAGGCCTCGCAAGAGAAACAGCGAAGCACTTCATGGTGCCTTAGAGAGAGAAAAAGAGAGGTGCAAAGCACAGTGCTGCACTCGAGGGGCACAAAACAAAAGCGAACCGGCGCGTAGGCGGAGAATAAAAATCCGCGTCTCGCGCTTGAATGGCCGAGTTTCTACTCATTTCCCTTGCCGTTGCTTATAAACTCTCTAATGCCCCAGTCAACTTTTTAGTACGCGCTCGCGCTCTCAGGATGAGGTAAAAATTGGAAAAGCAATTTGTTCCAGAGGGATTGTTTGCTCATCATCGAAATACTTCGCGAACGGAGACGAGGCGCGGCAAGAGGCGAAAGAAAAGAAGTTGAGAATGCAAAAATAGATCCGGAAAGAGAGAGAAGATGCAAAATTATTCCATTTTGCTAGTCAAAACAAAAGTTCTCTTGGGATGGCGATCTCGAGAAGAGGATAAAAAATTATCGGCGCCTGGCCGTGATCTCGAACAATGAGAGCTACGGGCAGAAAGAAGCGAGGAGGAGGGCGAGGGGGGGAGGGTGCCGAGCAAAACAAAGCTCTAAATCCCGAGCGCACACGGAAGACAAATGCAGCCGCGCGACCGAGGTGACAGTCGATGGGGCATTAAATAGCGAGGAGTGAGAGCGAAAAGCAGAAAAAAGAGGAAGCTTGCGCGCCGGGTCAGGACGAGAGAATGGAGGAGGAAAAGAGAGGCTGCATTCCCAGGGGAGCAGTCGCAATGTAGGTCGGCTGGCTGAATATTAAACCAGCACCCGCTGAATATTAAACGGCCAATCCGGAGGAGCTTCGTCGAAACTCGAATTCTCGCTGGCTCGCGCGCGCGCATAGCCCCTGTGTGTGTGTACACACTCAGCCTCCTTAACGTTTACTTTGCACTCGAAGTAATGCGCTTGGCTTATAGGCTATCCGCGCGGCTCTTTCTCGATAACACTGGCCTTGGACGAAAATTAGTTACTCAGCCAAGGGTGCACGAATTGGCTAACTATCTCACGTGGAAAAGTCGCGGCTACGTACGGCTAACTAACTTGCGCACCTGCGTGACTGGTTTTCGCAAAAAACCTCCCGTGCGATTGGCTCTCGCCGTGGGCCTCGGGCATTAACGATACACTATAGTACGCCACGCGTATAGTTAGAGCGCTGCTCTTTTATCGGCGTCGAATAATCCTTTGGGCTCTTCGTTAATTTTACGTTTGCTGCATTTCTCTTGTTCTCGCACGTGCATTCCCTATGCTCTGCGTTTAACCCTCCTCCCTCCCCACCTTTCTTCTACTCTGGCCTCTTGTTTCCTTTCGCTTTGAAGTTCCCTCTGTTGCACTGATATAGAGTTGAGCACGTATATTGCTGTGATAAGTGGAGCAGAGATTTATTTTAGAACAGCTGCTTTTCACCATGAATCAATTCAAATTGTATTCTTCTTGGCTCGCGCTTAACTAGTCATTTTAATATGTTTATTAATTGATACAGGGACTCCTTGTTGCAACGTGATTAAAGGCATATGCTTTATGGATAATGTAATCTAAGATATTGCTAGTAGATAGATTACTATTTGGAAGTTATTTTATTGTTCAAATGTCATAAGTATTAACGGTTCAATCGAAGGATTCCGATTGAACGAGTGCACTGAGAATGCAAATGTAATGTCAATAAAACTGGATTGGAATTTTTCCGCCACAACGGTATATAAAAAAACTGATGCGAAACTCAGGTAGAAATGCTGAAAAATTGAGAAAGCTATCGGGGGTAAGAGGATGAAAGCTATTGAAGTAGGCGAATGCGCATCTGCGCATTGGTGGCTGCTTGGAGCACTATATAACGCCGCGTTTAAAAAGTCAATTTTACGTTCGCAGTGCATTTGTTACCCGATGCCGCTGAAACTTTTGTAATTTCATTAGGCAGTCGAGGCACACACAAGCACCAGATGCCTCGTCCAAGCGCGAGCGTATTCGTTCACTCGTTATTAAGGCTTGGCTGACATGCTACTTGCACGGGCACACGCGCGCGCGAGAGTGTGCGACCGGATTTTCGTTATGCCTTAACTACGTCAATTAAGTACGTTAAAGCTTGCGCAGTATCTCTTTTCTCTTTTTTTTTTATTATTGCCGATTAATCGCTTCACTGGATTTTCCTTCACGTTTGCCCTGTCGTTCAGTAGCTTCTTTCTTTTTTGCAACGTTTTCTCTGAAATTACGTCGTTATGCTTACTTCTGGCAGAGTCAAAAGAATTCCATACGTTTCAAAGCGACTTATCTCTACGGCAGAAGAAATCTTGAAAATGTACTTTGAATAACGAGCTTTCTCTCTCTTTCTCTCTCCCTCTGACTCTCATGCGAGCGACTTTCAAAGTGGAACACTATAACAATTTTTCAAAGCGAAACGACTTTGCCTCGGTTACACAGCGAATATTGCATCGCGTTTGCATAACATCTTATTTACTTTCAATCGACTCAGAGAATCACGACGTAGCTCTCGCGGGCCAATGCAAAAATGTATAAACAATCAAGCAAATTAACCAGTTTATTTCAATTCGTAATAACGCTTGTAGGTTGGTAGGGCAACTTTACGACGACAATTAACTCGAGTAATTCTCCTGGCCAACATAGCAGCGCGACAAAGGGAACAGCCGTTTCGCTGCTAGTTTCCCCCTTATAAACCAGGCAATTTCATGTACGGAAAAGCTCGCGAGCTGAGCTCTGTACCGTGAGCACGTTGGCAGAGAGTGAATAAAGGACGAAGCTCTCGCGCAGTGGCTGACCAAAAGCCGGCATTTTCTACTACCGCGCAGCAGTCAACTCAACGTCAGCGGTAAAGACTCGCAACTCTCTTCTAGCCCGGCTAAACGTAGCTCAAAAACCACAACTCTTCTCATGTTTTCCCAATTCGAGGATTCTTCAGAATTCCGAATAATCGCCGAGCTTTTTGATGATTTGGAAAATTTTTATTGTTGACCGAAATACTATTGTACGAACAACAAACATTTTCAATCTTGGATAGACGAAAATCGAATGACAGAAGTTTGCGAGAGTATTTTGTCAAAGATTAATATGTGATGATTGAGTTATTGAGAAAGTTTTTCGAAAGGATATTGTTTTCGTGAAGAAACTTTTTTTAATCTCTGGAAAATATAAACGATGGATACGTGTGATGATGAATACTAAATGTCCTGTCACTCCTGCCGTATTTTCCTCTTCTTCAGTGTAATGTCAAATTTGTAATAGCTCTCTTTACGCTAAGAAAACAGGCCGAAGATCACGTATTCTTTGACAAGCGCACTCGAGATCTGATCGAGCTCATGCGGCTAGACACGAGTTGGCGAGAACAAGAATAAGAAGAAAAATAAGAGGAAGAAGAAGCCGCAAAATTGGCTCTTTGTCCGTGTGAATAACAGCGTTGCTCGATCACACTCGAGTTTCGATCCATATATCTCAACGTATTACCAAGCGCTTGGCTGTACCAGCTATTGGGTTTTCCTCGGCCAGTGACAGCTTTCTTAATTTCGACAACTCGCTAGCACCCCTCATCCAATCGGCGCAGACAGCTTGCCGGCAGCCGCGTAGGCCAATTTCGATGAAAGCTCTTTGGCTCCACTCTCCCTCTCTGCGCTGCTATACCGCCGCCTTTTTTCGATCCTCTCGACGCGAAAAGCTTTTCACCTTAATCTTTTTGCCCGTGGTGCACCTTTGTGTATTGGGCCCTCGCTTGATCAAATACCAAATATTTTCTTGCCGAGTTTGCGATTGTGTTCCGACTTGTTACTCCTTGAAGCGGCCTTATTTCGATGTGTTTTTCGTTTTCAATGCCAGCTCATCAGAAGGCGCTCTTTGGCGCAGTAATTTCAACGCCGACGCTGGCGGTAGACTGATTTTGAGAATGAAGCAAGCTCGATGGCAAGAAAAAGTGACAAAACGTAGGGAGGGAAAAATGGAGCAAGAACGTCACTTAATTAAAGCCAGCTGGCAAAATGACTCGGCCACGTGACTCTCCTGTTTCGTTGAACCGAAGGTCTTCCACAAAATTTCGAGTCACTGAGCGTCCGCCGTCGTTTTAATGTAATAAAAGCTCACGATCACACATAAAATTTCATGGGCTTTTGAGCAAGCACTATCTACCCACATCAGCATTATTCATATTTGTTGCGCTCAGTAGGCTCGTAAAAATTACGAGACAATATATTTTGTCATGATGAAGCGCATGTCGGAGTGTTTCGCATTATATTCATCTCGTAAAAAGCAGTTTTGCAAGCACGGCAATTATCGAATTTTCATTATACCGCCGGAGATGCGCTTGGTATGTATATGAAACGACAAATAACCTGATTGCAAAGTTTTTGAGAGTATCCGACAGCGAGGATTCGATCAATAACTGTATAGAGGTGCCCGGCGAAAGTCAAAGCGTAATTTCTGTGAGTTGTATGTCCTATCTTAAAATTTCACAAGCCACAGCGCTAATCAGATTGAAAACGGATGGCACTGTAGTTCTAGGAAGGTCGATCCTTTTAGTCGAGGAATCTGGTCACGAAAGCTAGCTT